GCACAGGCTGGTACCAAGGGCTAGAAGGCTCCCTCTTCATCCCACCTGCTGAGATCCTTCAAGGCTCCACTCAGGCTGCACCCTCTCCAGGTAGCCCTCCCTGGTCTGTGCTAAGTCCTCCAGCTGAATTGGTCTCTCTCATTCCCAGCTCATCCCGTCTCACGTTCTACAGATCTAGACATCCCATATATGTTCACCAGTCAGCTCCTCAAAAGCAGTGTCCTGTTGAACACCGTTTAGCACAAAGCAGAGGTTTCATAAAAAAGACTTGTTGGGGGGCAGTTAGGTGGCACAGTGCATAGAGCACCGACCCTGGAGTCAGGAGGACCTGAGTTCAAACCTGACCTCGGACACTTATTAGCTGTGTGACCCTGGGCAAGTCACTTAACCCCATTGCTGGCCAAGAAAACAAAACAAACAAAAAATCAAAAAGAAAACAAACAAACAAAAAAAAAAAATAAAGGCTTGTTGGAGGGGTTTGGAGTGCCTTGCCTTCAGCTGGGGGAGTGTTAGGAAAGGGCAGGGGCAGAGGAGAAGCAGCAGGTCAGCCATGGGGGAGAGAGTCGACTGAAAGGCAGACTCCAGTCCCCCCTCTGACTTCCTGGCTCCATGACCAGACTCTTCCCCAGGTAGGACTACGCCTGTAACCTGTGCAGCAGATACTCTATCTATAGTAGACACTGTGTACTGTAGTATAGCGTATAGTATAGCACACTTACGTAGACTGTGTAATATACATGCTGTTTAGTCCTGTCTCAGGAGAGACAACTCCCTAAAGCTAAATGAGATCCCACCTGAAAGGACCATGCCGTCCAGGGATTCTGACACCGGGGTCCTCCACCGGGTCAGTGGGAAGGCTTCAGAGATTTCAGAGACCGACGGTGGCATTTCCAGAACACGATTCTGAGAAGGGTTCCCTAGACTTCCCCAGATTACCTGACCAAGGGGACCAGGACACACAAGAAAACAACTCTCTCATTTTACAGATGAGGAAATTGAGGCCCAGGTAAGGGAAGTGACTCGCCTGAGGTCAGCCAGCCTTGCCCAGGAGTGTAGAGATGGTGAGTCAGGGTCATTGACCTGCAGCTTAAGGGATCTCAGAGACCGTGTAGCCCAATTTCATTTTAACCTGAGGACCCTGAGAGATTGCTGTTGACTGCCCCAGGCCACAGAGGGAGTGTCAGAGGCTGTATTTGAACCCAAAGCCTGTGTTCTTTCTACCATTCCACACTGCCTCTCTGGGTAGGTGGGGAGAGAGATGGAGACCTGGGCCAAAAAAAAAAAAGAAAAAGAAAAAAAAAGTGGGGTAGGGCAGAGCCTGGCTTCCAAGCCAAGCTGGCACAGATCCAGAAGAGACAGATGAGGAGGATGGGGCTTCAGCTGCTCTGCTGTCCAAGGTGCTGGATGGGAAGGTAAACACAAAGCAAAACTATCCCTTAAAGAAAACAGGGGGGCTAGCCTGGGGCATCTGATGATCTGCCTTTTCTGACCTTTTTCTGGGAAGGAGTCAGTGGGTGAAGCAGGTGGGACAGCGCCTTGAGCAATCATGAGAGGCAGTGTGGAAAGAAGAGGTGAAAGTCTGGGTGAAAAGGCCCATCTGAGCCCTTCTGCTGACCTAGTAGTAATAATACCAGGTCACACCCTCCTCACAACATTCCCATGGCTCCCTATTCCCACTAGGATCAAAGATAATCCTAACACTTAACACCCTTCATGACTGGGCCCTAACCTACCTTTCCAGCCTTATTACTGCCCTTCACGCACTCTACAATCCGGACAAACTGGTCTTCTTTCCTAGCAGACGCTCCATCTCCCCCACCATCTCCCATTCCTGGAATGTCCCCCTTTCTTAGCTCTAGCTTTGAAATCTCTGCTTCTCTTTGAAGCTCATCTCAAACACCACTTTGTCCCCCTCACCCCCACCCCGATACTGGGGTCTCCTCCTCCAAATTATCTTGTATTTGTACTGTCATTCGTTTTCAAAGAAGGCCAACAACGTCGTGGTGTGCTGTCTTGACTGGTGAATGAATTGGATTTAAGTGAGGCAGAGTTGTACAAAGTCATCAGTTTGACTTTCTGTTCCAGAGTCATCAAAATCCAGTGGCCGGAGGGCTGGCGATGGCCAGTGAATGACCTGACCAAATTCTAAACGCTTCACCACCATCATGGCCATTGGAACAAATTGTTCTCATCTGCCCGGTCCACTGTGCATGCTTCAGCTCTACTTATACGTGAGCGTGTTTTCTCTTCAGAAAGACTGTAAGCCCCCGGAGGGCAGGGACTGTTTGTCTTTGGTCTATGTATTCTCAGCGCCTGGCCCATAGTAGATGCTTGTTGGTTGATGGACGCTACCCTTCTCTGAACTTCAGTTACCGGGACAACCCTCCTTGCCCCGCCTATCTCACAGGGTAATGGTTTTGCAAATTACTAAAGAGCTAAATAAAAGGAAGTTATTAGCACCCTTGCCACCCCCACCCCCAGCAAAGCAGAGCCCTCGGTCTGGCAGGGAGAACGGGTTTTGCCCATCTCAGCCAAGAGGGACCATCTGTAACATGAGGGCCTTGAAGGCAGATCGCGCTTTTTCGATTTCATATTCCCAACCACCAACACAGTGCTTGGTGCTTAGCAGTCGATGAATAAATGTTTATAGGTCGATCAATTGTAGAGGAGTTAGCAGGATTTAATGGAAGCAAGACAGCAGACTCGGGAATCCTCGTTTCTCCTGCTGTGATTCAGAGGAAAGCATGCTTTGGAGTCAGAAGACCTAGGTTTGAATCCTGGCTTGGTCAATTACAACCTCGGGCTCACCGACTCTGTTTCCTACCTGTATGTAGGGCCAATAATACAATGGGCTGCCTTGGAAGGCCTTCAGACACAAGCTGGACGACCACTTGCCAGTCGGGTACAAGTTGGACTAAAGGCCTTCTCTTTCCAATGTAGTCTGTGGGCTAGGGGTGTCCTCAAGACAGTCTGGGTCCCCAAAGAAAGATGCTGCCTTCGGGCTCGAACCCAGACTCTGCTCTTTACCATGTGACCTTTGTCAGCTCGCCACCTCTGGACCTGGGCTTGTGCAACGTGGGCAACGTCCAAAGGCCAGAACAGCCCTCAAGCGATCACATTCGACCCCTCCCCGCTGAGAGATTAAGCTTAAGCTCTGGATTTCAAGGACCCATTCAGAGCAGCAGCAGGTATATTTCTGGGCAAATGCCCAGTGATACAAAAGTCACCTGGTTGGGTGGAGGCAGGCTGCCGGGTGAAACTGGAGTAGGGACACCTCAGGGGAGGGGAAGGAGATGACATGAAATGGAAAGAACTAGAGCCAACTTTCCAAAGACGTAAGGAGAGGACAGGGAGGGAGGGCGGGATACCTCACCTTTCCCTGGACCCAAAGGGCTGGCAAAGCAAGGCCTGGGAGGAAGGAGAAAATCCCTCACCTGGCCCTGGCAACGGGGGACCACGAGGGGCAGCTGGAAAGGGCCACCACGGGGGATGACAGGCCTGAACTTGAACCTAACACAAGGGCATTGGGGCCCAGTGCACCTGGCACCAAGCTGTCATACCAGCCGGGTCACCTTGGACACCGGGCTTTGCCGGGCCACCAGCAAAGCGGAGAGAGGAACTGTGGTATAGGACAGGCATCGGGTCTGTCCTGTCTCTGCATGTGGGGACGTGGTGCAGGGCCTTTCCTACTCTGGGCCTCGAGTTTCCTCATCTGGACTAGATCACGGCATCGTGGCTTGATTGAGCTGAGTGGACCCTCAGGAGCCAACTAGTGGAACCCTCGTAGAACAGGGGAGGAATCTGAGGTCCCCCCAGCTCTACCCTGTCATCTTAGGATCTGAGTTCACATTACTAGTGCTATTTTTTCAGCTATGTGGCCCTGGGCAGGGTGCCTGCCCCTTTCTTGGCCCCCCTCAGTAAAATAGGGGTCCCTCTGCAGCTCTGAAGTTTGACGGTGGAGCCCCTTCTCTCGCCTCCCCATCCCTGCTGCTCCCCTGTCCTCCTGTCGCCTTCGAACACATCCAAAAAATTAAGAAAGAAAAAAGACAAGGAGACAGCTCTTAGATATCATGCTTTTAATACAAACTTAAAAAAATCTGAAACAATAGAAACTGTACAGATCTGATCAACCGTGTTTTGTTTCCAAACTAAATCTCGAAACACTCCAATGTCCCCTTCCAAAATATTGCACGACAGTCTGAATACAAAACTTCTGATTGTATTCCTCCTTCACTAAAGAAAAAAATAAACTATCCTGCTCCCCACCCCCCAACCCCTTCTCCAATGCCCTCTGTGCCCTTTCCCTGCCCTGGGGGCAAGAAGAGAGAGAATCGAGACCCGATGCACGGCTGCATCGAGAAGAAAACACGTCATTCTGGCCTAAGTTTACAAGTCCACCCACCTCTGGATTCTTTCTTGGGGAGGTGGGATGGATGAGGGATGGGGACCCAGGGGAGAAAAGGGTTCAAGTCTCTCCTCTTTTTTTCCCAAAGTTTTTTTTCCTGAAAAAATATTTTTTTTGTTTCTCTCCTCTTTTTAAGAAAAAATCTCCAAAAGAAAAAATTACAATTTTTTACGTTAGAAATATACATATATTATATATACCTCTTACATTTTACAAATGTAGCAAATTATTCATTACAAACGGACACCAAAAAAAATGTAAAAAATAAAAAAAAGCTTTCCTACGAAACCAGGTAAATTAGTGCAGGTTTGTTTTTTGTTTTTGTTTTTAAATAAAAAATAAAAATAAAATTGAAGATGGATGCCTATGTCTGAGATGGGAAAGAGTGAGCACTGAGCAAGGGCCCACTCCTGCAAGCCCAGGGTTTTTCCTTCACAGGCCTGGGCCTGGGGCCTGCCTGCTCCCCTCGCTCCGTGTGCAGATTTGAGACAGACAGGGCTGGGGTGCTGAAGTGGAGCAAGGAAGGCAAGCACCCCTCTCTCGCAAGCAGCATGGAGAGCTAGGGCCATTCTGCCTGGGCCCCTGGCACCCACTGGGGGAGGCAGGTTTGTCCATTTTTTTTTTTTTTTTTAGGAGGGAGGGAGAGAAGGGCTGCCCAGCCAGGGCTCAACCCTGAGTACAGTGCAGAGGGCAGGGATGGGTGGTGCTGGGTTACAAAGCCAGGAAGTCACCTGGCTGGGGGAGGTAGAGCTGACCTGCCCAACAGAGCAGGGTGGGAAAGGAGGGCAGCTACACTGGCAGCAGGGACCTCAGCCAAGATGCCACTAGGACCACAGCTTCATGTCAGCCTTGGCACCTGGGCAGGGGCTTTGGTACATCCCAATGACTGAGGCAGGGAAGGACGGGGGTGTGTGAGAAGCTCACTAATGGGCAGAGGGAGAAGGCCAGCCTTGATGCCCTACCAGGCTGCGACCGGCCAGCGGCAGCTGCTGCACATGCCTGCTCCCCTCTCTTGCACTCAAGACGGCAAAGCAAGCCCCCCACAGACTGATCTTGACTCCAGAGCAGGGCTGGGAGTGGGCAGAGGAGGGTGGGCTGAGGGCTCCTGCCCAGCCCCAGCCTCTCCCCCCAAAAGGCAGCAATGAAGGGCAGGCTCTGAGGGGAGGGTGCAGCCAGCCCCACTGTAGCTTAAGGCCAAGGAAGGGCAGAAATAAAGGGGGAAGAGGGGGAAGGAAAATGAACTCTGAATTCAAGTCTCAGGACATTCATTTGTCCAAGCCCCCTCCTCCAGGCACTGCTCTCGAGGGTTAGTCAGGGCCAACAGTCTGAACTCCTGGCTTAAGGCTGGACCCCGAGGGAGGGGAGGAAGGCCCAGGCAGGCCGGCTGTGCTGTGCAGCCCTGACTCACTCACCAGGAGCAGAAAACCTTTGTTTCTTTGTATTTTTGGTCAGAGTCTGAAGTAAAAGTGCAGGTAGTCTGGAAACCAGGCAGCTGAGAACCCTAATTTCGCTCAGTTTTGCACACCCCAATTGATCTCAGAGTGTTCTAGGGCCATCCCCCCACCCCCCACCAAAGGACTCAGAACCAGCCCTCCCCCCACCCCGCTGACCTCATCCCCATCAGGAATCCCTCAACATCTAGAAACACACCGCCCACCCCAGTATATGGTTTTGTGGTCTTTCTATCCTCTGAAACAGGACCTCCCCCACCCACCCGAGAAATGGGGCAACTGAGTCACCAGGGAGATGCCGAGCCGCGGAAGGCTGAAGGTGGCATGGCTCTCCTAGGGCGCTGAGATGACAGGCTTGGGCAAGCTGGGAAGGGGTAAGGTGAGGGAGGCCACAGAACTGAGGTGAAGACCCCAAAAGACTCTTCTCATGGCCTAAGCCGACTGGGTCGGGGTGGGCTGGGAACCCCTGCTGCTCAGCACGCCGCGAGAGCCAGACTACAGCAAAGGGTGCATAGCTTTGGAGGAGGAGGGGGGAGAGGTTGTGACCCAACAGGGAGACCCTCCCTCCTCAATCCTCTCCCCCAGGGACCTGAGAGGCCTTCCCTCCCTTTGGGCCATCTCTGGACAGCAGAGGCTCCAGATCAGCTAGGTACAAGGGGAGAGAGAGAGACAGAGAGAGAGACAGAGAGAGACAGAGACAGAGAAAGAGAGAGAGAGGAAGGGGAAACGCCCATCTGGACCACTTTCAGCACAAGAAGCCACTAACGATGTTAGGGGAAAACAAAAATCCTAAATAAAAAAAAAGAAAGAAAGAAAAATTCCAAACCCCAAACCAGCCAACCAAAAAAATCAGAGACAGGCAGAAAAATATCAGGGGCTCAAGTTAAAAAGCGCGTTGAGGCTTCGGGGAGCTCCTGGCCCCTGGCCTCTACATCTCCAGAAGGAAGAAGGTGGGAAATCTTTTCGTATATTCCTATTTTTCCCTTTTTTTTTCCTTTCCTTTCCTTTCTCTCGGCAGTGGCGGTGGCGGCTGCCCCGGCCCCTGCAGGTGGTCAGTTGGCCAGGACCACGGGCTGGAAGGACTGGCTGGGGTACTGCATGGTGTTCAGGTTGTAGCTGAGGCCCTCCACAAAGGGTGACTTCTCCAGGAAGAGGCCGCTGGCACTGCCTCCAAACACCTGGGCCACATCGAAGCTGCCGCTGCCGCCGCCGCCAGCACCAGAACCGCTGCCGCTGCCGCCGGGGCCGCTGAAGGCGGCGGGGGCCAGGCTGTTGCCGGGCGGCCCTTCGGCCCCATCAAAGAAGAGGCCAGGGGAGCCGCCGTTGTACACAAACTCCTTGGCGTTGGGGGAGAGCTGGGACTGGGGGGCTGACCCGGCCCCGACAAAGTTCAGAGAATGCACAGACAGAGAGAGGCCCTTCTGCCTCAGCAGGGTGCTGGTGGGAGACCTGGCCAGGCGGGGCTGATGGGCGGGGGGCTGCTGGCCTCCTCCGCCACCCCCAGCCCCGCCCGCACCACCGCCACCTTTCTTCATCTTGGTGGAGCCAAACTTGGTGGCGGCGAAAGTGGCGGTGGTGAAGGTGATGGGCTGGGCGGAGCGGGGGATGAAGGTCGGGCTGGGCGACTGGCCCAAGGAGGGCGAGGGCGAGTTGGACAGGGAGTTGTCCTGGCTGCCGATGGGGACGAACACTTGGGCCTCCGGGTTGAAGCTGCTCTTGATCTCCTTGTCCAGCTCGGCCGCGGCACCGCAGCCCTCGCTGTCGTCCAGGTAGAGCACCTTGACGGTGCCCTTCTCCCCGATCTGGTAGGAGACCTCGAAGGGGTCGATCCAGACGCTCAGCTCCTCGGGCACATTGGCGCGCACGTCCTCCACGGCCAGGCCGCTCCGCTTGGCCGCCAGCTCCACCACCGGGTCCACCGTCTCCCCGATGTGCACGCAGCGGAAGCCCGAGCCCTTGAGGGGCCTGTCTGGGTACCAGTGACCTTCATACCTCTTCCTGAGGAGACGCTCCAGCTCTTCGCCAAAGAGGTCTGCGCGGCGCCGGGGCAGCTTGTTGTACAGGTAGGAGATGATGAAGTTGAGAGCAACCTTAATCTCCAGATGCATATTCCTCCTGTGTCGGGTAGCAGCTGCGAGCAGGGTGTGTCAGAGGGCAGGGCAGTGAGGACGGATGGCACCAGCGTGGGCAGGTTTCGGTTCCTGATGACTCTGGGGAGACAAGGGAGACAGGGGAGGCCGTCCGTAAATGCAAGGGAAGCCAGGGTATGGAAGGCGGTGAGCTCCCCGACCCGCGTCACGCATGGGGCAGGAAGGGTCTGCGGACAGGCCAGAACTACGCCAGCGCCCCGAGGGATGTGAGAAGGCTCATGGAAGACGGTGCTGAGCACCCGGCGCGTAACGGGCATGGGCTGAGACACGGGGGAGAGCTGGAGGTTCCCTCGGCAAATGGAAAGGGACACTGGCTAGTCTGCTCCGGTAAGCGGGATGCAGCATGGCCGGCTTTCAGCTGGGGGCTCAGATGGGAGCCTCGCCCGACGCGTCACCTCCAATACGGTGTAAAGGAGACGTGGGCAGGAACACACACATATACACACACGCACGCACGGTCTGGATGAGGGACTCCAGGACATCCCTACAGAGCAAAGCCTTTGAATTTACACCCCAAGACACACCAAGTCAACAGAAGAGGACATGGAGAGAATCGCTACCCGTGTCACCAGGTAATCTTTATAAGCCAGAGATGTCAGGGGGAGCAGCCCAGCTGCTCTCCAAGGAGGAGAATTCTTGAGAACTGGACCCGGGACAGTTCTAGAACTGACAGGAGCCCAAGAGGGGAGACAGAGGCAGGAGGTGTTTCTCAGCACCTCCCTGGGCTGTCCATGTGCTACTCAGCACAGAGGAATACAAGTCCACCGGGAATCATGGCCATCTCTCAGTAGGGGGAATGGAACTGTTCTAGGCCAGCTCCAGATGAAGATGCATGGGGGGGCAGTGGCTTGACTCCAATACCTTTGACACTGCCCACTAATGGCCATGGCTTTGGAATACGGACTACAGAATCATGGGGTGCCAGGGTGAGGAAGGGACCCTGAGCATCACCTACTTCAATGCCGTCATTTTACAGATGGGGAAACCGAGGCCTACCCCGTACTCTTTCCATTACTCCCAGGCTTCCTATACAAGGGATAGTCACAATGTAGGGAACTCGGGGACTAGGAATTGGATAATAGAATGGGGGGCGTTTGCTTCGGAGCAGGACAGGGTATACGGCTGAGAGCCGATCCCAAGGGATGGGGAGTAGTCATTCAATAACTCAGCATGCATCCAGGAGGAGCAGCGAGCTAGGGGCTGGGGGCCCAGAGACAGTCCGCTCCCTGCCCTGGGGGGGACGAGGGGGAGGACAAGAGATAAACACCTAGCAAACGTACTTGGTAACAAGGGAAGAGGGTGACATGACATCGGGAAAGGCCTCTCATAAAAGGAAAAAGAATTTCTGTTTCTTCCAGAAGAAAGCAAGTGCCAATGGGGAGAAATGGAGGGCAGACAGGTTATTCTGGACTCCACTTAAGACCAGACTTCTCAATAACGAAGTGTTAGGAAAAGCTTTCTCGTGAATTGCCACTTGCTTGGGAGTCACTCACTGGGCAGGAGACTGTACCAGGGGCCCCTCAAGGTCCAGTTTCCAGCCTCTGTGACCCTTCCCAGCCTGGCCGCCCACTACCCACCACGATGGATGACAGAATCACGGAGCCCTTGACAGGCTAGACCGGACCAGTACTGAGAGGGCGAGATTCAATAGGAAAAAAATGCAAAGGCCTATGTTTGGGTGAATTGGATGCACAAGGACGACACAGCTCGGTGAGGCCAGGGCTCCCACAGAAAGACCTGGGAGCTTTAGAAGACCACAGGCTCAAGGTCAAGAGAAGTCAGGGTGACATGGCTGTGCCCTCCCCAAAAGTGATGCAAAGAGAGTCTCTCACTTACTAACTGGGTAACCTTGAGTTAAGCGATTTCACTTTTCTGGGTCTCAGCTTCCTTTCTATAAAATGAAGGGGGGGGGGGCAGCTAGGTGGCACAGTGAATAGAGCTCTGGCCTTGGGAGTCAGGAGGACCTGAGTTCAAATCCAGCCTCAGACACTTGACACTTACTAGCTGTGTGACCCTGGGCAAGTCACTTAACCCCAACTGCCTCACCAAAAACAGGAAAAAAAAAAATGAAGGGAAGGATCTTCTCAGGTCTCCTCTGGCCCTAGCTCCCATGATCTTAAGCTGCATTAATGGAAAAGTTTCCAAGGCCAGGGAGATGACAGCCCCACGGTTCCCTGCCCCAGTCGGATCCCATCTGGAATCCTCTGTTCTATGCTGGACAACAGATCTTGAAAAGCTCAGGCAGATCCAGAGAAAGCCAGCCGCGATGGCGGGGAGCAAGGAGCAGGGATGTTCAGGCTGGAGGGGCCTCAGCTGTCTCCAAGCATCTCAGGGCTGTGGCTGGGAAGAGCGGTCTGGCTCTGGCCCGAGGGCACAGCCAGGCTCAGCGAGTAGAAGCTGCAGAGGCACATTTAGGCTGAGGTCAGGAGGAGCAGGCCCATAATCGGAGCTGTCCCCGGGGCAGAACATACTGCCTGGAGCCCTGAGGCAGCGGCCTGGGATGCGGGACAGAGGAGAGGCGGAGCCAGACGGCCTAGGAGGTCCCTTCTCACCTGGAGGCGCTAGGACCCTTTCTATGTACCAGAGGCAGATCTGCCTTCCCAGTGGACAGAACACCGAACTTGAAGCTGGAAAGCCTGTGTCTGAGTCTTAGCCATGCACATGAACAAGTCACTTTATATTTCTCTGGGCCTCAGTTTCCTTACCTGTGAAATGGGGAACTAGATTAGATGACTGATTTCTAAGGACTCTCACTGCTAATTCTCTGACCCTAGGGAAGCCGCACACCTGCCGGAAAGAATGACAAACGTATTCCAGCAACGCAATGGCTCTGTTGGACGGCTCTCAGTCGGGTCTCCAAATCTGCGGCTAAACCAAGAGCTGCTAGAACCGGGGTGCAGCAGTGGGGAACCTGCGGCCTCGGGACCACGTGTGGCCTTCTGGGTCCTCGGGTACGGCCCTGGGACCGAGCCCAAGTTTGACAGAACAAATGTGTTCTGTGACATTTGGATTCAGTCAAAGGGCTTCTCTTGAGGACCTAGAAGGCCACACGTGGCCTCAAGGCCGCAGGCTCCCCACCCCTCATCGGGAGTATGAAGCTATCCTGAGCCCCTCTCTTGTCAGCGAGAGCCTTTGGGCCCAGCCTCTGATAGCCGGGCCTCTTCCTTCCTCACCTCAGGCCCAGGCCATTGCCAGAGCCTCCTACTGAGGCTCTCTACCTGCCTCCAGCCTCCCTCTTTGATCCAGCCTGCCTTCCCCAGGCTCAGACATCCTGACCAGCCCTCCATCCCAGCCAACTGGTCTCCTACACAACAGTCTGCATCTCTCTGCCCATACTTGGAACGGACTCCTCCATCCTCACCGCCACCTCCTCCATGAAGCCTTCCTGAGTCCCCTAGCCCCCGCCTGCTGCTGCCACTTCTCCCATCTTCACTTCCTAACTCTTGCACTCACTCCTGCGCAGACCTGCCATCTTCCCAGGCAGAGACAGCTTCATTTTGGGTGCTGTTTCCCAAGCACCGGGCACAGATAGAGGAGGCCACAGGAATGAAGCCGGAAGGAACCCCGAGACAGTTCCCCTTGTACCACCTGGTCCGGAAGCAAGTACCTGTCTTTGTTTCTGCTTTGAACAAAGCCTTCAAAAAGGCTGCAGAGGGCCCAAGGGCTCCCTGGATGGGCCCCCAGGCACGACCCTCCTCTTCCTAAGACAGCCAAGAATCCCAATGGCAGCCAGTGCTTAGCAGGAAGCCTGGAGATTCCTTTTCCTCCCCAGTTTCTCCCCTGGGCAGCTCAGTCTCTAAAGGGCTCCCTCCCTGATCTGAGCCGGCAACCAGCCCCACCTGGGCAGCAGTGCCCACATTCCAGCTGGGGCCTAACTACTACCTGAGAGAGGAAGGAGGCTTCACAAATAAGGAAGTTGACCAGGATACCTCACCTCTCCGACTGGGGAACAGGCCAGGCCAGATGGCTTCAGGGTGGAGCCTTGCCAAAAAGAAAAAAAAAAAAAGGCAGGGAGGACAGCAGAGAGAAGGACTGCTCTGCTCTCCTGGTCAGGCCTCCAGGTTCAGACTACTCTAAGTGACTCAAGGGGCAGAGGATAGAGTACCCTCCCCAAAGCTCCGGAGCTGGGCCACAGAAGGATTTGGTGGCTTTTAAGCTGTGGACACATTTTAGAGTGGAGAGATGGCCCCGGGGCCATCTATCAGATAAGTCAGATGAGGGGCCCCTCTGCCACGAGCTCACAACTATCACGGACTAAAGGAAAGAGCACAAGGTCTGGTTAAAAATTAAAAACAGACTGAGAAGTCAAACCTAGCTGAGACCTTGGCAGAGTCATTTCCCTCATGCCTCAGCCTCTTCACGGTGTAATAGCGAGTTAAAGTAAATGACCTCTAAGCTAATATAGTCAATTTAAAGGCAGAATATGAAGGGGGAGGAGCTTCAGAAAGAAAAAGGTTGGGGGTTCTATTACAAGAAGCAACATGCACATTTGGCAGATGTTTGAAAAAGGCAGTAAATTCTTGCTAAGGCTGATGGTGACCTTGGCTTTGACTGCAGCTGGAAAGTTCAGATCTGCAGGGATTCTCTGGTGTACAAGGAGGTGTCCGGACCGAGATCGAGCTCAATGGCGACTGCTTGTCATCAGGGTGGCTGGGAACACCACCACAGACCCAGAGAAGGAAGGGACCTCAGGACCCATCTGGCACAAGCCCCTTACTGCACCGGGGAGAAACTGAGGCCCCTGCAAATCAAATGTCCACCCAAGGTGATCCCAACGGGCCTGTGACTCCAAACGCTGAGCCCGAGGCCTGTGTCCGGGCAGGCACCGCGGCCTTTGGGAGCTGATAAAGAAGAAAACAAAAGAGGATTTGGGGGGCAGAGACACAAGAGTCCCAGTCACGAGGGTGAGAGGCAGGGAGCACTCTACTCGACTTCCCAGCAGATAGAAATTTAAAAAGCCCAACTCCCTGAAAGGGTTTCTGACGTTGGGAGGGAGGGAAGGAAGGAGTCTGGGGAAATGGTTCGACAGAGGAAAAAGGAAGGAAAAGTCCTTAAGAAAA